TTATGTGTGTGTGTGAGACCATTATGTTATTGTTCATGCCAGACAGATTGGTGATTATGACGTGTACTTACCATTATAGTGAAAAATGTAGGTCGGCCATAACCTTGAAATAGAAAGTAGACAATAAACTACACGAATCACGGGAATGTTCCGACGTATCTTCTGTAACGTTTTCCTTCGTATCTTGTGACATGTTGTGGCGTATCTCTGTATGCCATTTTTTAATTCCGATGTAAAGTGGCAGGGTTCAGTAATCAAATGCATTGAATGTTTTCACGAAATTTATTGCAGTATTGAGTTAAAGTATCTAACATTGATAAATATTAGTTTCGGCTGATTCTTTCCCTAGAATTCTAGAATTTCCCGCAATAATCACCTAGTGTATTACTGCACAGAAAGCAGCATAGAGTACCAGGATGCTGCTGTTTAATCAATTTAAATAACAAGAAATAGATCGACAATATCCATCGTGAATACCGACCAGATTTGGCTATCGACAAACATCGTTTTCTTTCTACAACAAAACTTTCCATTTAGTTTTCTTTATCGCTGATTTTCCATTTCTGGCTAGCAACATCCTTGCATCCCCACCCTATGATATTAACATGATTCAGTTGGTTCGATATTCACGGACTACAAAATTGACTATGGATAATACAAGTACATTCAATCTTATTTTGAATAGTATTTACGAATGTCCCGTAATATCTTCTTAAACTGAGATTATGTTTCTTTTGGTGGTAGGATGTCAGAGGTATAACAATACTCTAAGATAGAGCGGAAACACTGTCAGTTGATACATGTTACTTGAAGTGGAAATTGTTTAGCCATGATGAAGCGAATTCTATACACTGAAATTATTTTAAATGACTGACAACACATGTGTGTAATCGTGTTCAAAAGCCATAAAAATAAAAGCAAATAAAATAGAAAAAGAAAAAAAAAACGTTTTGCTGCAGTATATTCCTTTAGATTTACTCTTTTACATGTATGGACTTGTACACTTTGATTTGATCAATATAAGTTAATAGTACAAAAAACCCCACATCCACCTCCCGTACAGAAGTCTAGTAAAATGCTGTGTATTTGTTTACACTTAGCGATTGACATCGTTAAATAGAAAACCCTGTCTACCACGAGTTTAACATTTACTGACCAAAATTTAGATTTAACTGCCATAGCAACAGATCGGACATCTAAGGGTACAGGATAAAAGGCTTGCAACCTGTCAAAATTAAATTCTTCTATTCTTGCATTTGGCACTTTGTATCTCCTATTACATGTTGGTGTTATTAGAGTCCTCGGTTATTGTTGGTGTTATTCGTGGGTACTCGGTTCTTGTTGGTGTAATTTGTGAGTATTCGGTTCTTGTTGGTGTTATTCGTGAGTCCTCGGTTCTTGTTGGTGCTATTCGTGAGTCCTCGGTTCTTGTTGATGTTAGTAGAGTCCTCGGTTATTGTTGGTGTTATTAGTGGGTACTCGGTTCTTGTTGGTGCTATTCGTGAGTCCTCGGTTCTTGTTGATGTTATTAGAGTCCTCGGTTATTGTTGGTGTAATTTGTGAGTATTCGGTTCTTGTTGGTGTTATTAGTGAGTCCTCGGTTCTTGTTGGTGCTATTCGTGAGTCCTCGGTTCTTGTTGATGTTAGTAGAGTCCTCGGTTATTGTTGGTGTTATTAGTGGGTACTCGGGTCTTGTTGGTGTTATTCGTGAGTTCCCGGTTCTTGTTGGTGTTATTCATGAGTCATCGGTTCTTGTTGGTGTTATTCGTGAGTCCTCGGTTCTTGTTGGTGTTATTCGTGAGTCCTCGGTTCTTGTTGGTGTTATTCCCGAATCCTCGGTTCTTGTTGGTGTTATTCGTGAGTTCTTGGTTCTTGTTGGTGTTATTCGTGAGTCCACGATACTTGTTAGTGTTATTCGTGAATCCTCGGATCTTGTAGGTGTTATTCGTGAGTCCCGGTTGTTGTTGGTGTTATGCGTGAGTCCTCGGATCCTGTAGGTGTTATTCGTAAGTCCGTGGATCTTGTTGGTGTTATTAGTGAGTCATCGGATGTCAGTGTTATTCGTGAGTCCACGATACTTGTTGGTTTTATTCGTGAGTCCTCGGATCTTGTAGGTGTTATTCATGTGTCCGCGGATCTTGTTGGTGTTATTAGTGAGTCCTCGGTTGTTGTTGGTGTTATTCGTGAGTTCTCGGTTCTTGTTGGTGTTATTCGTGAATCCTCGGTTCTTCTTGATGTTATTCGTGAGTTCTCGGTTCTTCTGGGTGTTATTCGTGAGTCCACGATACTTGTTGGTGTTATTCGTGAGTTCTCGGTTCTTGTTGGTGTTATTCGTGAGTCCTCGGTTCTTCTGGGTGTTATTCGTGAGTCCACGATACTTGTTGGTGTTATTCGTGAGTTCTCGGTTCTTGTTGGTGTTATTCGTGAGTCCTCGGATCTTGTAGGTGTTATTAGTGAGTCATCGGATGTCAGTGTTTTTCGTGAGTGCTAGGTTGTTGTTGGTGTTATTTGTGAGTTGTCGGTTCTTCTTGGCGTTATTCGTGAGTTCTCGGTTCTTGTTGGTGTTATTCGTGAGTCCTCGGATCTTGTAGGTGTTATTAGTGAGTCATCGGATGTCAGTGTTTTTCGTGAGTGCTAGGTTGTTGTTGGTGTTATTCGTGAGTCCGCGGATCTTGTTGGTGTTATTCGTCAGTCCGCGGATCTTGTTGGCGTTATTCGTGAGTTCTCGGTTCTTGTTGGCGTTATTCATGAGTTCTCGGTTCTTGTTGGTGTTATTCGTGAGTCCTCGGTTCTTCCTGATGTTATTCGTGATTCCACGATACTTGTTGGCGTTATTCGTGATTCTACGATACTTGTTGGCGTTATTCTCGAGTCCTCGGATCTTGTAGGTGTTATTAGTGAGTCATCGGATGTCAGTGTTATTCGTGAGTCCACGATACTTGTTAGTGTTATTCGTGAGTCCTCGGATCTTGTAGGTGTTATTAGTGAGTCATCAGATGTCAGTGTTATTCGTGAGTCCACGATACTTGTTAGTGTTATTCGTGAGTCCTCGGATCTTGTAGGTGTTATTCGTGAGTCCTCGGTTCTTGTTGGTGTTATTCATGAGTCCGCGGATCTTGTTGGTGTTATTCGTGAGTCCTAGGTTCTTGTTGATGTTATTCGTGAGTCCTCGGATCTTTTTGGAGTTATTCGTGTGTCCTCGGTTCTTCTTGATGTTATTCGTTAGTACTCGGTTCTTCTTGATGTTATGCGTGAGTCCTCGGATCTTGTAGGTGTTATTCGTAAGTCCGTGGATCTTGTTGGTGTTATTCGTGAGTCATCGGATGTTGTTGGTGTTATTCGTGAGTACTCGGTTGTTGTTAGTGTTATTCGTGAGTCCTAGGTTCTTGTTGATGTTATTCGTGAGTCCTCGGATCTTGTAGGTGTTATTCATGAGTCCGCGGATCTTGTTGGTGTTTTGGTGTTATTCGTGAATCCTCGGTTTTTGATGGTGTTATTCGTGAGTCCTTGGTTCTTGTTGGTGTTATTCGTGAGACCTCGGTTCTTGTTGTTGTTATTCGTGAGCCCTCGGTTCTTGTTGATGTTATTTGTGATTGATGTTGGGGTTGATATAAATGTTTTCGTTTAGGGTTAGGGTTAGGTGTTAGCTGTGAGTTGTTTCTTCTTAAAGAATGGTTGCAGCTGAATTTTCATAAATGTACATAGTTATGGTAGAGGGTTTGGTAATTCTGCCGTCCAGCTTGGGTTTTGTAATCGAGGTAAAATGTTTTGTTATATTGAGGGTACATTTTCTGCTCGCCTTTTTTATTCACAGTTCTTGCCAATTAGTTTATACCTTGCGGAGTTGTGTTGCTGCTGCTGCTGCTGCTGTTGTTGTTGTTGTTGTTGTTGTTGTTGTTGTTGTTGTTGTTGTTGTTGTTGTTGTTGTTGTTGTTGTTGTTGTTGTTGTTGTTGTTGTTGTTGTTGTTGTTGTTGTTTTTGTTGTTGTTGTTGAACTGCACGGCACTAACAAAAAATCAAAAACACAGATGTCACCAGGTCATTAGAAATATATTTACAGATTTCTCGGTTTCCCAACAATGAATTAACATACTTTATCATCTATGAAGTGGTGAAAATCCAACTCGTAGCGTGTTTGTACTCATGTTTTCTGTGTTGTCCTTCTGTAACTTGCCTTATATGTAAGGGTCATTTGACATCAAGTTCACAAATCAGCGTCTAATATCAAATCGATTTGTTGTCTGATTAAAACACAGTTCTTCATCCGATATAAAGTGAACGCAGTGTATAATGAAGGTTTGTATTTTATAAGACGGCTATACTGTGAAGCCAATCAGGATAAACAATCTCACATGATTAAAGTTCAAACATTATATAACCCAGATTTCGGTGGTGATTGCTAAAGAGTTTTTATAAGTAAAGGGAAGGCTGGGATTTTCTTTAGGATGGACTACAGCCATGTATTTCTAGAGTTCAATTGATCTATATCGCTTTGAGTAACCTGTTCTTTGTAAAATGATAAAGAAAGGAATCCCGTAATATACAAACGGTCATGGCCTCGTAATGCAGAAAATTGCCAAACAGATAGTAACATTTGGGACGATTGAAAAACAAAATCTATTAAGAGATATGTACCTACATTAAATTTATATACACAATGAAAAACTCTCAGTTTTGAGCATGTACACTTTTATTTTAAGGTACAACGTAAGGGTCCATGTATCTTTTGGTAATATAGCTATAAAGGCCTCGTCAGTACTACCAACAGTTGTATCCTATAATAGTGACTATAGCGTCACAGCATGTCATGTACGAATTCAAAATTTCTGTCGTGAACCAAGGGACGTAACTCATATGAACATAGAGAATACGTTTTCCGGATGGAAACCGGCGAATACTCCACTGAACATCAGTATCTTGTGTTTCAAGTTAAAAGCAACAGAGAAAAAATGAGGTCGATAAGTTTGCTTCCTGAGATTATTAAAAATTGTTGTACTTAATTATTTTTTCAAAATGATTTTTTGAATCCAGTGCATGTACTTTAAAACATTTGTATAAATTCCGAATTTTCCCTTTTCTCCGCATCCTTCACCGTAGCTTGTCACGCCATTTACATACCAACGGGTTTCATTGTTGTTATACACAAAAGGACACAGAAGTGGTCCCCCACTGTCACCAATACAAGAATCTATTCCTCCTCGTTTGTACCCGGCACAAAGCTGGGAACGAGTAATAGTGAAATCAAATGCTTTTTGACATTTTCTTTTCTTGACTATCGGTACGTCTGCTTCTTTTAAAATGTCACTTCCTGTCAAACTCTTACTCTGGGTTCTACCCCAGCCTATAGTCTTACAAATGGTTCTACTTGATAGTCTTTTGGATTTCACCGGAAGACATGCATAACCACTAATATTAGAAGTCCTTACAGGCGAATTCAATTTTAATAATGCTATGTCATTCATGACAGCTTTATAACTAAATAATGGATGAGGAAAATATTTAGAAACAGTGTAGTCCTCTTCCGTCTTCTCAAATTTTGTGACGTCATGCTCTCCCACACGCACAATGATCTTACGGGTTTTGCCTCTTTTTCGTATGCAGTGAGCCGCCGTGAGAACCCAGTAGGGGGCGATCAGGGTTCCGCCACAAAAGTGTTTCTTCCGTTTGTTGAGTAATTCAACCTAAAGAAAAGATATTTCAAAAAGATGTATTGGTGTAACATTCTCTTTGTAAAACACGAAATGAAAACAAACTCATTACCTCTCGTCTCTGAGTTACTTCCCTTTAGCCGATGTTAATGCCTTCATTTCACCATATCGGATAGATCACGTTAAACAACAGTATATGTCACAGTGAACTATGTAGTGACCATATTTTTAAGTTTACCAATGTCAACATCATCAGTATCGTTGTTTACGAGTTAAGTTATGATAATATTTACTATCATTGACGTAGTATGGACTCGATGATCCGAATACAAAACTGCAATTGTCCAAGATGTTTGATAAGCTGAGAACTAAGAATGTACATGATTAGTTGGGTAACAATAAACAAACCTGCCAAGGCCAACTGTTAGGTGATGAATATTGCCCTCCGACTATCTTAAATCGTCCGCTAGTACCAGGAGGCCGTAGACCACACGAGGCTTGAAGACTTTCTAACGTTATATTAGATGCAGCAGCTGGAAACATGTAATGTTAATATCAGTAAAAGTTACTCACCAAAACAATTTGTGGTATAGAACTATACAGAAAGTTTGAAGAAAAATAGATTTTATTTTACTTTGTACTATTTTACGAATAAAATTTTATGAACAAACAATACAAATACATTATATTATGATACTCTGTGTAATTTGAGTAAATTCGTCATAAACTACATAACATTAATAGAACACAACCGATCGAGGCTCGATTTTCATTAACAATTACTGTTTAAGATCAAATTTGGAGAGACATAGGGATGCATCATATAACAATGACCATTGCATATCAATACAACATCGGTTATCTAAATCTATTCGGTTATTTTATATCTATTTAAAAACGGAATACATTTTGTACGTTTGCTTTACAAAGGGCTTTTTACATGGTACCTTCATGTTTGTGTCGTTCCCTGTCTGCTTGTGCCACCTTGAACCTGTTGGTACTTATGATATAAGAGCCGTGACAGGTGTCGTTGACAATACGGCAGTATCGCTCTTCCTCAAGATAGCCACTTCCACATACGTCTGTGAACTTACACCGGCGGCGACGCCTCTTTTTACACGTTCTCGAACACGATCCCCACGATGACCAAGGCTTATAAAACAAGTCATATAACAAATCCTCCTTTTTCCTGTTTGATTTTGTTGACCCAATGACCTTGTACGTAACCTCTTTACACGGCCCACTCTTCCTATTGCAGGGTCGCTTTTCGCGTATGCGCGAATGACCACAAAAGGTAGGAAATCTGCATTTCCGCTTCCGGGTTTGTTGGCAGTGGCGATTACAACGAGTCCAAGGTGACCAAATTGTGTAATAATCACAAAAAATATTATTTTCGTCCGCTTCATCGATGGCATCTGTCACAACATTTTCAGTCGGAGAGGAAGTGTTGTCTTTCCTTGTCATATTTTTTATTTTGTCACTTGATGGTTCAATCATCTGACAAAAAAATAAAGAGAAATATACTGGTTACGTTAAGAAACAAAATGAGAGAATCTATCTAACTAAATGTATAATGTAAGATAAAGCATCAAACAAAAACAAAAATCAACTTGTCATCTTCAGTAAGCGTCTGTGTACGTATGCTGCGTAGAACTTTAGTTTACTACTATAACGTGAGAGATTTTATAGACTTCTTGGATAATGTCCAACACACAATAACATGGCAGTCAGTATGCACTGTATGACATGTCCCGAGGTCAGTTTGTATGATATTGTAGTCATTAAGTACTGTCTGACATGGGCGTAGTCAGTTTGTATGACGTGTTAGTCAGTATGCACTGTATAACCTGGGTCGATGTCAGTTTGTATGACGCGTTAGTCAGTATGCACTGTATGACCTGGTACGATGTCAGTTTGTATGACGCGTTAGTCAGTATGCACTGTATGACCTGGTTCGATGTCAGTTTGTATGACGCGTTAGTCAGTATGCACTGTATGACCTGGTTCGATGTCAGTTTGTATGACGCGTTAGTCAGTATGCACTGTATGACCTGGTTCGATGTCAGTTTGTATGACGCGTTAGTCAGTATGCACTGTATGACCTGGTACGATGTCAGTTTGTATGACGCGTTAGTCAGTATGCACTGTATGACCTGGTACGATGTCAGTTTGTATGACGCGTTAGTCAGTATGCACTGTATGACCTGGTTCAATATCAATGTGTTTGACGCGATAGTCATCATGTACTTGGTACATGGACAGTATATATGACGCGGACGTATTTATACTGTATGACTTGTATATGGACAGTATATGACGCGGCAGTCAGTATGTACTGTATGACATAGCCCGAGGTCGGTATATATGACGCGGACGTCATTATGTACTGTATGACTTGGTACATGGTCAGTATCTATGACAAGGCAGCCATTGGTAACAACAGGAGGGAAGGTGTGAGTTAGAGTATTATAAATCACCATTATTACGTTATTAATGGGAGTGTAAAATGGTGACTTTCGCTGCTATTTCGGTTGACACTGTCTGTAATGCGCAAGTTCATTATATGATGTTTGCTTGCGAAGCTTTGTCATTTATCAATGCTTTCAAATGACATTTTAAACCTTAGATAAAGTGCTAACTCATTATTATAACTGATATCATTAACAATGCAACATCGATATGCCTTTCTGTGGTCGACACTAGTGACCCAGATACTGTAGCAAGTGATCGCTTAGATGCTACACTTTAACACATTACCGACACTGACAACTCAAAACAAGGTCATTTTACAACGTGTACAGTGTTATCGATTCATAGGTTTATGCATATATGTATTAAATGCACATATTTCGGCAAACTATTTGTTCCATATACAATTTTTAAAACACCGATACTCCTTATTCATTCAAAATAACGTAAGTCGAAATATTTTCTCTTTTAAACATGTTAAGTCGTTATTTTCTTTAGGTCAAGCCAAATACTAAATATACAGTTTAACAAACAAAACAAACTAAAACGATCGCGTGTCTTGTCAATATACATAAACATTTTAGTAACATAATCTATCCAACTCACTCCCAAAGTCTTTTGTTTGAACATAACTCCTTTTGTTAGCCTTTTAAAATCTAGGCCGTTTTGTTAACGTATATTTTGTAACGTTACGTTATTGCATGTGTGTCAATTTCACCAGGGGCGTAGCTAAGACATCGCCAGGGACCGGATGCAAGTACATTGTACATTGTGACGGAAAAAGCCATATAAATGCTACATTGTAAACGAGACGGGCTAGAGCGGGGCCATTTTCATACGTGTGTTGTATATGTAACTATTATGTCATTAAAGCAATAAGCGACTTTATGATTACTGTCACAAATAATTGCCTGAGATGAATGGTCAAATGATCGATTGAAATAATAAAACGTCACAAAAAGCCATTTGTATATAAGTCACTACAGCTTCTCTCCTGAAGACAATCGTTGTCCTTTTGTGACTAAAACTGACCCTTTCTGACCCTGTATGGTGTTATTATGTTTTGTGTACCCTGGTCAAAGTACTTTTAATATAAGGTAGTGTTTTTTATGACCTACTTTGAATTTGCACAGTAAGAGTATTATGCAGTGAATATGAAGTGCCGTTCTCCACATGGTACATGATATTAACTATGGTCTCTCATCCACACTCAATTACATGTTAATGTCTACTATACTGCGAAGACAACCTTTAATGTGATGAAACGTGTCATTGAATTATACTAATTGCAAGGATAGGATCAGAATTTGTCCTTCAATTGCAAATATAGAAGTTTTACCCAAATATGGCAAAGCTGCAAGAGTCACCACATGAGTCGCCTCAAACGAGCGCGTAAGGGGGATGTGGTAATTTTTCCGCATTTGATTGTAGCTTCAAAGGTTTTACAAATTATTTTGAATATATAGCGAAATATATGTGGTTGTCGGTATCACGGCAATGCTGAGCTAGCTGAAATGATTTATATGTTTCATAATATCGACCGCCTACATATTGTGCATGCAAAGATCACGCCGTATTTAATTATTCTATCAACTGTGCTTGGTATGTTGTTATATAGAAACATACTGAGCACTGATACCATCAGAAAGACAGCAGCAGTATCGGCCTACAAACCTAGTTTCACGCAGATGTGTCTCGGGAATAATATTGAACCCAAACGAGAATTCATTTTCCTAGCGAGTAAAGTGTTTCTCCTTTTGCAGTGTTGGCTTCTTGCTGATGCACAGAAGCTTCGAAATTGCAATATCTCGGTATATCGAAAGGATTCGTTAATGCGGGTTTTCCAAATTGTTATTTAAGTAAATTTGGATGTTTTATGCCATTTAATCTCAGTTCTTTTGTATGCAATTTAGCCTGCAGCCTGCCTCTCCAAATTTCCAAACTTGAAAAATAGATAAATGCCAAAAAGACTAGTTTGTGCGAGCTTTTCATTTTTAAAAGACAATTAGTTGACTTTAAAAAAGGGAACTTGTTTGAGATAACGATTTTTACCAATCGATAAACAAATATCACAAAGCTATTTACAACAATACATCAAAGCAATTATACAATACAATAGAAGAGTACCATATTATCGTCATTGTTTGCTTTCATCTTATAGAGGTGATCTTCATCATGACTTCTGTAATCAATATAAATACCAACTGCCAGTATGTAGATTAGATGTATAAAAATCGCTTATCTTTAAAATCTTTAAAACATCTTCTCAATAACCAAAAATTCCATGGTACTGATATTGGGCCTTTAGCATGCTGGGATGAAAGGCTACCAAGTTCGTTAAAAAAGAATTACTTTAACGGACTTTCAAGGTCACAGGGGTAAAATATGGTAAAATCTTAAACCAAAAGGCCCAGAGTACTACTATTGGGCCTGAAGCATGATGGTAAGAAGGGCTACTAATCTGTAATTACATTTATCTTAATCCACTTATAACCAAAAAGGCCCAGGTTTTGATATTGGGTATGTCGCATGCTTTTTCACCAAGCAATATGTCTGAAATAATGGCATTCGTGTATTGCATGTATAAAGAATATGTTTTCAAGTTTGCAGAAAATGTTTTTATGAGCCAACTATGTCTTCTATGTAAGCTGTAGTGTAGTTGAGCAATTTATCTTAGGCCTATTTGACCTCTTTGATATACAAGTCTTACAGGTCCAGCTGCATACAAAGAAAAAGTTCTATGGAGTAAAAATATTTGTGAAAAAGTGAAAGTAAAAGTGAAAAACATGTGTTTTTGTTGATCGGTATAAAGATTTTTTTCTAAAACAAAGCATTCGATTGATAATGATTTCGTAGCAAAATTACATATTTGACAATAAAATTATTCTGCTATAATTTGATAACTTTGTGAAGCTACTTATTTTTGTGAAAGTCTTACCAGTCCACTGTATATTAATACCAAAATGAAAGAAAGTGACCGCCGGTCAGTTTTGTTTACCTAGAGAAATCTAACCTGATTAATTCTAACACCGACTGAATAACTCTAGCTCGTGTATGTAGCCCATATACTACAACTTGGCGCATTAATGAGAGATAGGCGAATGAAATACAACACGTGAAATATATAATCTATATCTACCAGGTCTACTTGCTGGTGGACGTTACACCTTGACCACTGAATGTGTATTCATACGCTTGACCAGAAGGGTGTTCATAGCCTCTGGTTACATAGAACGTAACGGGAAACTGGGGTTAGGATGGAAATATATGCCAATGTACTTATGTCTGGAGATCCTTAACTTCCTTCTCAAACTCATGTTATCATTATACTGACCTTACTTTTCTTTATCAAATTAACGAAAAGGTTTGAAACTGGTTAGAGGACAACCTAAGCAACCAGAACTTCCCATTCCTACCTTTCCCCCTCTTCCTTCGCCTTCTTACCTGCTCTTCTATACGTGGAACATCAGTAATTAAGTACTAGTATATAAGTAAAATTGTGTATTATTGTAAGAGTGTCTAGTACGTAACAAGACCTTATGCTCAATCCCTTTTATGCATTATCGATAAAATGTGTTTGAAAGAATTTAAATAATCGTTAGTATACTTATATTTCTAATCACGATAAGGATTCCATGAACCACTACAACACAGTGGACGGTTAAGATAGATATAAATGAAGGTAATAAGCGCCAATATCCAGGTCCCAATATCAATAATAGGGTCCTATTCTATAGGGACGACATACTGCAATGGCGTTTTGTAATGATTTAAGTATGATTATCGCTGATATGCATGTCACTTTTGCCCTAATGATTTAATAAATCGTGATATGCTTGAAGTGAAACAAACAACTGACCTACAGGCAAATATTGATAGTGTAATATCCGTTGTTATTTGCTGTGTTAGTTTTTTTTTCTTTTTCAAGTGTGAAGTCATTGGGTACAAGTAGTTTTGATTGGGTCTTGTTTCGTCGTGTTGGATGTATTCATCTATTTCAACAGCAACCGTTTATCATTTTCAAAATA